TTGAGAAAAGATACCACATAAACACTGAGCAAAAAGAAAGATGTCCTACCATTGAATGGTCGATAAAATAGCCTGTAAAGTTAAACACATGGGGATTTAGATGCCCTCAACAATAAAGGTCTATGTGTTACTTTCTATTCATTAGATTTGTGTGTGTGCTCATATATATGTAGTGTGTGTTCATGTATACATGTGTATGTGAGTACATATGTACATGCCAGAGGTCAATGTAGAGCCTTTTTCACTATTGTTGTCCATCTTATATTTTAAAACATGGGATATTTATTATAACAAAAGATCATTACATCTAATAGTGCTGACCATTTAACCCATTCAGTATATACATGTCAAGAATTAGCTAGAATCTTCTCTATCCTATAGAAAAGTGCCTGGCCTTGATTCCTGCAACCACCTTCTAGTTTAAGAAAAGATCTCCCATGAACCTAGGGTTCTCCAATTGTCTAGACTTGCTGGGCAGGAGGCTCGCAGCAGCACCACCGCCTTCCTGTTCTGAGAATACAGATGTGCTACCACACTTGATTTTGTGTGGGTGCTGGGGATCCAAGTGCAGGTCCTTCACCAAGTGAGACATTTCCCCGCTCCTTCATTAGATGTTTAAAGTGTTGTTCTCACCCACTGACCAAGCTGGTGGTTATTCACAAAGCTGCCAACACCCACTGTTGAAAATGCTGCTCCAGAACAGAGTTCTAGACTTAACACCCCTGAGGCATTCTACAGTGCAGGTGGATGTCAGTCACCGTGCCTGCCACTGGACACAGAGCTCCTTAGACAAAAGGAAATGCCAGTGACTTCTAGAGCAAGCAGCTGACTCTGCTCTGTTTTGATTTGGTTTTGCCAAAGATCTCAAAGGAACTAAGCTTCCTTACAAAGAGAAAGTGGAACTTGCTAGCTATGTGTTCTGGGACTTTTATTAGGTAATGGAAAAGAGTTTTGGAAACGTCTCCCCTCAACATCCCCCCCCCACCACTTCTACATGTGGAAATAGGTCTTTAGAATGTAAAGTCCATTGGTGTAATCATTGAGATGTCAGCCCATGGCAAAGACTTCATAAGAACCTACTGGGGGACATCTCATGCCAATTCCAGGGCTGGCACTTGTGAGCATCACTGAAGGGCCCGTCCATTCTGTTACTTCTCCAGCATCCTTCCAGGGACTGTGATGGATTAAGTACTTTCCTTCAAGGCAATTAGGAAAGCTTGAGGGAATAAGTGATGTCGGCTGTTGCTATGTGAGTGTCTGCTTTGCCAAGAAGCAGGGAAAACAAGTGAGCTAAGAGTGGTTGGGAAGTAGAGATGATGAAGGGTGACGGCAGAGTCCCCCACCCCACACAACCCCAGAACCTCTGCACCAGATGGCCAGAGCCCAAAGTTATGAAATTAGAAAACCATGTATGTGCTCAGCGCTTTGTACACTCCTGGGAGAAGACCACACTTTTGATTGAGTCACTGGCTCCTCTGCTTTGGAGCATTCAAGGAGTTAGAGGATTCACCACCAGAGATGAATCCATGCTTTTCTTTACTAGTTGATTTTAAGAATGGTGAGCACAAAGAGAGCTTATGTAGACATGTTTTTGTTAGCACTTTAGGTGTTGCTTTTGTGCCAACTCCATTTTACAGATTAGGAATCTGAGGTTCCAAGGGCATAAGCAACTTACTCAACAATGTGCAGAGCTGAGATTCGGTCTCAGAATGTTGGGTTTAGAGTCTCCTTCCCTCTTCCTTTCCCTCCCTCCCCTCCCTTTCCCATTGTTTTATGTATATGATGTGTATTTCTGTCCACATGGATGGGGGTGGGTGGATGCACTTGTCACAGTGCTCATGTAGTGGCCAGAGGACAATCTTCAGTGTCACACCATGCTTCCCACCCTGTTTGAAACAGAACTCTATAATTTGCTGCTGTGTGTGCCAGGCTCTGATATGTCAGCTTCTAAGGATGGCTGTCACCGCCTCCCATCTTGTAGGAGTACTGGGTTATAGGTAGGTGTTGCTGTGCCAGGCTTTACATGGGTTCTGATGATTTGAACACAAGCCCTCACACTTACATGGCAAATGCTTTACCCACAGAGCCTTCTCCACAGCCTAGAGCTGGCTTTATAAACTGACATGGTTCTCTGAATGCCTTTCATCAGACTCATACATAATTGAAAGAATTTGATGGTTTTAGGGGCATTAAAAAAAACTGATAGCCAGACTCAGCGTGCTGCTCAAAGAGCACTTGCCTAGCATGTTCAAAGCCCTGGGTTTGATCCCTAACAAGGCAGAATAAATAACTATAAATCACAACAAATAAAAATTGACATCTGCATCAGGAAACTTCTGCTTTGTTTTGTTTGTGCGCCAAAGTCAAGTCCATAGCATCTGTCACATTCCTGTGCACACTGAAAAAGCAAGCAGACTCTTCATAGTGACTTCACAAAGTGGCCAAGTGGTGGGAAGCCACAAGAAGGGAAACCACTACATGGTGATACCACACTGCACTCTGGTATTTGCTGATGAGCTCAACTCCTGCCATCTGAAGCGCTTCCCTAACTGGGACAATAGTCAGTGGGATTAGCCCAATTCAGTGGATGCCTGCTCTCCTCAGCTCACAAAAGCCTTCTCCAGTGCTCCAGGCTCTCCTGGCAATGTTGGTGGGTACCAACAAGGCTGCTGCTGCAGCAGCACTATGCCAATGTGAATGGCACCCAGGACAAAATGAAGAAAGTCAAGGAAAAAGGTGTCTGGCCGGACAGAGGAGATCACACGGTAGTGTCAGCAGAGCCCTGTGGACAAACGCAGACTTTGGATGGGTGGGCAAACAAGTGTTTGTTTGTGATATAGGTCAGGGTCAAACAACTATAGGGAAATAAATATTTAAGGAAAAATGTGGTGTGGGTAGGTGTTCACAGAACTCTGTTCATAATAGTAAAAGTTGGCAATAACCCCAGTGTCCATGAAGAGACAAATGGATAAATCATACAGTAGCATAGTTACACAGTGGGCCGCTCTACAGCAAGAAAATGGGATAAAACATGAAGCTCTGTGTGAGTGAAAGAATCCAGACACTAACAGTTCATGGGCAAATGATTGCATTTATGTGAAATATCCTAGATATGGAAATCCACAGATTCTCTGGAGTCTAAAACAGATTAGTGGCCAGGGCAGGGAGGAGAGAGAATAGGGAAGTACTGGTTAATGGGTACAGAATTTCCTTTTGAGGTGATAAGAATGTTCTGGAACTGGATGCTTGGAGGTGGTTGCACAATGTTCTGAATGTACTTAGAGCCACTGAAGTATACTTCAAATGGTTAAATTGTAGTATTTATGTTGTGTGTCCTGGCAGGGAGGAAGATGTGCAGGTGACTTTAATAACCATTGCTATGACCACAGCAGGAAGCTCAGTGACTGGGTGGGAAGTCTTAAGATGGAGGCTTGAAAAAAACTGATGGACACACACCTAGGTGGCCCCCACTGGATGGCCCTATCAGCAGGGTTGGGGAACAGCTCCTCTTTAGACATGCTGTGGTGTCCCCCTGACCTCTCCCTGAGCTGCCTTTGCTTGTTTCCTGCACCTGAGGTTCCCACTCCAGCTTCTGATTGTCCTGCAAGTCAAAGTTATGGATTCTAGAAGAAAACAAGGACACTACCCCTTGGGCACATGGAAACCATGGAAAGATAGGTGCAGTTACCATCTGGGAGACCACTGACCTTGACATCTAGTGTGTGGAGTCCCCAGATTCACATACTAATTCCAATACAGGGGCCTATTCCCTGGATTATAAAACTGTGGCTTCATTTTAATGAATGGAGCTGATTGTGAAAGGGAACCCACAAAGCGGCATCTTTGATAGTTAATTCCAAGAGCTGTGTAACTGTTACCATGGAACCTTCCTTGGACATTGTGGTTGTTCTTTGTCTGTTGTTCAGCGACTTTAACTTCTTTCTCAGGATAAACTTGACATGTAGTTACCCACTTAGGCTTGGAGTCAGCTTTCTGCTGAACAGTCCCTCCAGCAAATGGGCGATGGAAGGAGGACTCAGGATGGAGAAGGGGGTGAAAGGCTATGCACCACACCTACACACCTCCCCCTAGGCACCCTTCCCTGGAACACCATCTACTCTCTGTTCATCTTGGTTTTCCCATTGTTAGAACGGGTCCAATCATTCCTACCAAATAGAATGAGTGACAGGGTCTCTTGGGCCCCATGCTGGAGTCAAATTCTCTGTGTGGTTGGAAGATGACCTTGAATTTCTGATCCTCTTGCCTCTATCTCCTGAGTGCTGGGGTTTCAGGAATCTGCCACCACATCTGGTTCATCAGGAGTTGGGGTGGAGCCAGGATTTGCTGGTTATAGCTCAATATTAGATAGAATATATATAGAAGGAAGAAGACACTCAATCAAGGGCTATGAAATGGAGCTTCCTGCCTCAACCTCCCAACATGCTGGGATTCTAGACATATGCCACTATGTCTGCCTAACATAATTAATTTTTATGTTAATTACATGTTGAAATGATAAGATTTTAAATATCAACAAGTGAATATTAGTTAATGGGTATTAATGCTATCAATTATCTAGGTTAAATAAGATATATTAAACATTCTCATCTGACTCTTTTTTCAAATGAGGAGAAAACTTAAAATTACACATTATATTTCTATGGGACAACCCAAATCTAGAATATTCTCAATATACCATCAGTCTGGCAAAGCCTCACAATCTCATTTGTGCTCAAGTGTGAAACAGACTTTTGGAGTATAGGTAATTCTCTGAGAAGAGTGCTTTCTAAGAATCAAAAGCACATCAAACTAGGGCTGGGGTGTAGCTCGGTGGCAGAGCACTCGCCTCGCCTGCATGAGGCTCTGAGTTTGAGCCAGGTGCTGCAAGAAAGAGTTTTACAACATCCAGTTGATTCTGAAGGCTTTTCCATGCAGAGTTGTTAAGGGGTGGTGTGAAAGTGTGGAGAACGGGCCCAACTAAGTTTTGTAACCTTTCCCAGGTTCGCTGTGACCCTGAGATTCAGGAACTGCGACAGTGGCAGAAGAAGCTGCGTGAGGACAAGCACATCCGCCAGCGTGTGAAGATCTTCTGGGCTAAACAAGAACAGAAATGTGAGTGGCGGGCTCCACAGCTCCTGTTTATTCCGGAAAAGGCTGACCCTTCCCCTGAGCTCTAGAAAAACTCTCAGAGGCTGCGGAAACTCTCTCTCTCTCTCTCTCTCTCTCTCTCTCTCTCGTGTGTGTGTGTGTGTGTGTGTGTGTGTGTGTGTGTGTGTCCTGCTCTGCAGCAGCTATAGAGTTCACAGGATGTAATTCACATGGCCATTTCCCTCCTTGAGGACAACTTCTATGTATCCTGTACCTGAGAGCTTTTATCATCTAGCTATGAGACTCCAAGAACAAGCCGTGATTTGGGGATCTATGTTAATGCAGGGTGTGCAGGTGATCACCCTCCCCAACTCCTGCTGTGTATCTGAACTTCAGTGCATTTATTTCCATCTTCCTTTTTGTTATGGGATGTTCCATGTGTCAGTTTGGCTGGCCCAGGGGCTGCTCAGTTAGTGTTGGTGAATGCTATTTCTGGGTATAGCTATGAGACTGTTTCTAGAAATTGAATATGAATTTGAACTGGTAGGCTGAACAGATTGCCCCTCTCTAGTGGTGGGGACCTGAATAGGAGAAAGGGTCAGGAGGTTGAATTAATTGCTGGTATTATGCACATAGCCCTGGTCTCCTCCTGCCTCTCCTCCAGTCCTCCTGGGCCTCAAGCCTCAGATGTGGGCTGAACCAGACCCAGTGGGCTCTCCAGCTTTCAAACTTCTGATCTACCTCACCACACAAGTGGGCATGCTAACACACACATGTACACACCCCTCTCCACTCCTCCCCTGCTTGCAGATGGCAGATGGTGCGGCTTCTGTGAACCAGTACTTGGTATTTCTAAATCACCTTATAATGTGTATACTTTTGTATTGGAAAAAGACCATGTCAGAATGAACACCAGCATATTAACCATGGTGGGATTTCTGTTTTCTTCCCATTTTTGGCAATTGTTTTTCTGTTTTTCTTATTGTGACTATATACTAAGTTAAAGTTTAAAAATGAAAGGGGGGGCACTGGCATGATGGTTCAGTCAGTTGAAGTGCTTGATGTGAGAGCACTCCTGTTCAGCTGGCTCAGTCCTGGCCTTGCTTTAGCTCAACTGCCATTTCAGTTCAGTTCAGAACTGGGACTCAATCAGGGCTGTAATCAGCTTAAAGGTCACAGGAAGCACAGTACACCTATTTATTGCTGCTGTTCTGTATTCTTTGGAGTTGATTTGCTGTTATTTGATTGATGGGCTTGGCTTGCTGTAGAGCAGGAAGAATAGAGTGGCCCGAGTGCCAGCAGCAGAGCAGAGTAGGATCTGCTGTCCCAGTCACCTGCTGTTTGCACCTTGTCACCTTGCAAGGGCTCAAAGAGGCTCCCACATTGCACACAGGGTCTTCAGTAAATATGACCAAATATAATATAAATCCCAATATGGTCCAGTGCTAAACTGCCCTTTATGTGAGACTCTGAGAAAAATTACATAAAATAAAAAGTTCTAGAGATTGTTCCAGGTTCATCACCAGTTGGAAGGCAGGACAGTATTAACAGCAGAGCTGCCCCAGGACTCTAGCTACCACTCCCAACCTTACATTATTGACTTCACTGGACCTTAGTTTCCATTTTTTCAGAATGGGACCAAAGTTGCATTTCTGCCACATACAGCTGTTAAAGGAGTCTCCTGGATGATCTTCAGAATGAGTCCTGGCACCCGTGAATGTCCCACACAATAGTATGTGGAGATGTGTGTGTGTGTGTGTGTGTGTGTGTGTGTGTGCTTTTGAGTGACTTGGGGTTTGTTTCCTTTGATTGACAGACCTTAAACTGTAGATTCCAAGTGGGACAGTGTTTATCTTATTTGTGTGTTGCCCAAAGCTTCACAAAGATCAATGGTCTACACTTATGTATTTGAGTCATGAAGCTCTTGGGCTTCATTTTACAGTAGAAGAAATAGAGGCTAGAAAGGTTTGAGCACTTGCCCATGGGATCAGTGAGATGGCTTAGGTGGTAAAGCGCTTGCTGAGCTTACGTGAGGACCTGGATTTGATCCCCAGTGTTCACATGAAAGTTGGGTAAGGTGGCATTACACACATCATCCCAGCTCTGGGGATGCTGACAGAGAAGACCCACTGGGGCTTGTTGGCTACCCATTCTCACCAACCAGTGAGTTCCAGGTTCAGTGAGACCCTGCCTCAAGAATTAAGGTGGAGACTGCTTGAGAAGGACACCTGGTATCGACCTCTGGCTTCCACACACCTGAATATGTGTGGACAGTGATGAGCTTGCAGCCACACATCTTTACTTTCTCATCTTCAAAGGCTTCCATAGAGATTGATACACACAAGCTCCCTACTCTCTTTTCCTTAGTGGTGCTGTAGCTGGAACCCAGAGCCACACATCCTAGGCAGGCACTTTACCACCTGGCTGCACCCAGCCCTGTGAGCTGCTCTCCTGGATTTTATCATTAGACCCAAACTTCTCAGGAATGGTCTTAAACACACCATATGACATGGCCCATTTCTTATCAGGGCATCAGGATTCTTGATGTCTGGGTTTATGTTGACTGAGTTATTTAGGTTGGGGCTGAATGAAGATGAATGTGCAGCCTGGGATACCCTGTGTAACTAAGAACTTACTGTTTCCTTCAGGTGTCATTAAGCAAATCATTTTGTGGAGGGCCAGAAAACAATATTTCCCTAGCCAAGGTGACACAATAGTCATGTCCTGAAGACATCCCATGTGGCAGCTTCTGTCCTTTAGATTTGCTTAAAGTATATATATATATATATATATATATATATATATATATATATAGTCGTGGTAGGTGGCAATAGTTTTGAGCTCCCTTTAAAATTTTCCCTCTGTGTAGGAATCCCTCAGGCAAATATCTAAGGTGTTCTCATAATACATTCTGGTGTGAGCAGCCTCTTGCAGACAGCGAGTCTCAGGGAGGGACAACAGCTGTCCCAGCAGACTCCTGGTCATGTGCAGTTCCTCTCAGGTTACACAGAGTCAGAGGCTACTGTCCCCAACAACATTCTCTTCCAGTCAGAAACAGTGTGAAGTTCTCCAGTCTCTTTCTAGAAGGACAGGTGCACAGATTATTTTTAAATGTGTGTCCTCAGAATTTCAGTCAAAGCAGTCCAAAAATGCCTTGAGACACAGTCAAAAATCCCATCCCAAATAATAGCATGCTTTTCGTTGTGTTTCATCAGTGATCGGTTTCATATGTTCTTTGTATGTGAATACTCCTCACTAAACCCAGTGGCTCAGGATGTGGTGAGCACAGAGCCAAAATAAGCACAGCTGAGAAGTCAGAGGGTAGAGAAAGATTTATTACCTGCAGGGGTTGGGGAGGGCACAGGAGTCACTTCCAGAGCCACGGTGTCCTCTTTGAAGGAAGGAAGCACAGAGATTTTATTCAGGAAACCTATGCATATGCCGATGGGAAAACACCTTATGGGCAAGCACATTCCTGATCATCTCTGTTTAAGGGCATAGTTCAGGAAGGGGAGAAGGTAGAGCATATTTGGGGGCACCCTTGGCTTAAGCACATGACTTCAAAGTTATAAAGTTAAAAATAGACACAGTAGGCATGCTCAGCTAGAGCAATGAGGATGATAGGCAGCTGCCTCTGGATGTGTGTGTGTGTGTGTGTGTGTGTGTGTGTGTGTGTGTATGCCACTCATTTATGTATTTACAGGTACATGATTATGTGTGTGTGGGCCAAGGCCATAGGACAGGCCCAGCTGTTGATCCTCAGCTGCTGTCCATCTTATATTGCTTGTCAGTCTGGTTTAGTTTGGAGACAGAGTCTCTCATTTGCCCAAACTGGCCAAGCAGGCTGGACTGGCTATCCAGCAAGCCCCAGGGAGCCTCAGCCTCAGGAATCTGCCTGTCTCTGTCTCCCAATGCTTTTAAAATGTGGGTTCTGGGAGATCAACTCAGATACTCATGTTTGCATAGCAAGCACTTTACCCACTGGGTCATATCCCCAGTTCCTCAAAAGTTCTATCTAAAGTTCTTGACCTTCCTAACACTTCTAATAGTTTCCCAACCAAAATTCATGCTACTTCATAACGGTAATTTTGCTACCGTTATGTATTGTAATGCATGTATCTGATATGCAGGATAGCTGATATGTATTGTAATGAATGTATCTGATATGCAGGAGAGCTGATATGTGACCCGAAAGAGGTCATGCCCCACAGGTTAAGGTGCACTAATACAGGGCTTTGTTCCTAAGTGCTGGCCTCACTTAGAGGCTGCCATGTTCACATTTTACTTGGAAATCTAAGAAAGGTCAGACCAAAAACAAAAACAAAAATTGTAGCAATTGCTTCCATAACACCAGAATCTATTGCACACACATGCAAGGATACACATACCTGCACACACACATACCCACGCATGCACACACACACACACACACACACACACACACGGGGGGGGGCGCTGTGGGGGAAAGGCAGGTTACTTTCCCATATGACATGCATTTGTATATATGAATAAATATGCTTGAAATGATTTTTTTTGCTTTGTGTTTAGAAGAAAGTGTGTGTGTGTGTGTGTGTGTGTGTGTGTGTGTGTGTGTGTGTGTGTTTGGTACCGTCTGTCAAAGGAAGTGTTTTACCTCCTGTTTCCCACCTGCTCATTTCACATCCCAGCGGCTTGTAGTCTCAGAAATATACTGTAACTTTTGGCAAACATGGCAATTGACTTAGAAAAAAATTAAGATTGTGGAAATAAAAGCCACTGAATGCATATGGCAAAATACCACAAGACTAGCTGCTGAAAATGTATTTAAAATAATCTAATACACAAAAAATGTGTATATTGATATTCAAGGTGCATAGCCTGCTGCTTTGATTAATGTAAAGATATGTCGTGTGCCAGGTATAGTGGCACATGCCTGTAATCCAGCACTCAGGAGGCACAGGCAGGTGGATCTCTGTGAGTTCAGGGCTAGTCTGATCTCTCCATAGTGAGTTACAGAAAAAAAAGAAAGAAAAAAAAGAAGTGTT